CAGGAATACCACTCACTATTTATAAAATAGCAGAAATTGTAGGAATAGCTTTTATCAGAGCAATGATACCTTCAGATATCAAAAGTGCCTTTAAAAAACGTGGTATTTTCCCATTTGATGGGGATGTGTTTACGGACATAGACTTTGTACTGATTACAATAACCGATCGTCCCGTTCCTAATGTATCTGCCAATAAAAGTGAACCAACTCAGTCTGGTTCCTAATCTTGTACAATAAAACCCTTAACTTATTCTAATACAACTGTCATATCTGATGCAGTTATTCATTCATCGCGATCTAGCCCTACTCAAATATTTGTTTCTCGTTTATCTGATCTTCCTGTGAAATTGCCTCATTCAATTATAACTGTGAATTCTGTTATTCCATCACTGCAGTTTGAACCCAATTCAAAGTTTACTAAAGTTCATCCCAATTCACAAAGTTCATCTGTTTAAACTTACGTATCACCGAAACAATTTCGAGAACCTCTGAAGGCTGGTCCAAGATAAAATAAACGAAAGCCACGTAAATTAGGAAGGAGTATCATTGCTACGGACACTCTCGAAAAAAATTAAATTGAGATGGAAAGAAATGCAGCTAAAAGAAGAAAGGGCACTAAGAAAAATAAAAACGCAAAAGTGGTTCGACAAGTTCTACAAAGTGACTCTGAAGACGAAATTGAAGAAACTTTGTCACTATGTGATTCTGATGATGACAATTGGTGCGATGACGAAAACATAGAAAACTGTGATCCTGATCCTGTCTTAACGGAGAAGGATCTTGAATTACCAATATTACGGATACCAAAAAAGGGGGATTATGTGCTGACTAAATTTGCCACTAGAAAACAAATAATTTTTACGTAGGATAGATACATGAACCGAGAAATTACTCTTCAGAATATTTCATCAGTTTTTTGAGGGTAAAGGACAAAAATCCTCAACAATTTCATATGCCTACTGAATCAGATTTATCCTACGTCTACGAAGATAACATACGATATATTTTACCACAGCCTACTATGCCTGGAAATACTTCAAGACAATAGTCTTACTATTATTTTGCTGTAAATTTTAACATGATAAAAAATCTCCTTTAATGTTTTGTTTCAAATTTTTAATTTTTTAAGGATGGCTGTTTAATCTACCTACTCTTTATTTTTATATAGTGACTGTTTATTTACTGTTTTTTTAGTTCGAATTTTTGCAATAAAAAAATTCAGCACATCGGTTGTTTTACTAGTACCTACGTACTTACACTGTACATACACTGAGCCACTGTGTGCACTTCCCGGTACACAGTAGCTCATTTCATATTTTTTCTTTAAATCACATTTTTTTGTAAATCATTAATTTTAATATATTTATATTATGCAAGGTAAGTAGTAGAATTTCCAAGTTATCGTCTGAATTAATTTGAAACGAGGTAAATAATTTCGTAAGTGGTTTATTGTGCTTTGAATTTTACATGCGCCACTGTTGCTACACTGACCCTATAGATAAAATAGAGCTGTTTATATGTTTATCGGTTTAAGGAATAATAAATAATTATTGATTATAATATAATTAAGAAATACTAAGGTAATAGAAATTATTGAGGCTAAAAAAGATTAATGACAGAAAAGTTCCATTTGAATGGACGCAACAAAATATTAAAAATCAGGAATCATTGACTATATCAAAATAACTGAAAAGATTATTGAAAAGGTATAAGGTTAAGAAGAATAATCTAATTACAGATAATTGACATCATTCATACAAAAACATCAAAAACCCCAAGGTGAAGATAAACCAAAGAAAAATAAAAGCTGAACTGAAAAAATATGCTAAGGCAGAAATCGAACATGGATCAGCTTGTAAACACAAAATTCCATCTGGCTCTTTCAATTTTCTTCTAAGCCTGTATGCAGCATCAGTATGAAAGACGCCATACTTAGTTTCTATTTAATTAAAACTAGTTAAAATTTTGTTTTAGCAGGTAAACATATTAAAAGTTTGCTTTACATGCACATAAAACTACTTTAACGAACAGACGATTTGCTATTAAAATTAAACGAGAAGTTATAAAATTTGAATTTAAAAAATATATGTGTAAAACAGAATGAGATTTTAGTTTATTTTATAAGCAGGAAATTTGAAATTTTTTAGCATAATAAAATGTAAATTATAGCGTTGAAAAATCCAAGTCTCGTATACTCACTGCTCTTTACAAGAGTGTGAAAAATACTGCACTTAGCCTTAAATTATATAATTAAGAAAAAATATTTTAGTGTTTAATGAACACATAATATATGTGCATTTTAATTACTTGGTTGCTAAACATTCGCAAAGAAACGGTGTGGGATAATTTTGACCAAAGCATTAATAAAAAAAAATATTATTTTCAAAAATGTTTTCCATAAACTTGGTAAAATGGAAAGCTTCAAGCAATATGCTATCTATAATTAACGTGATAACTGATGTATTCCATGTTATCAAACCTAAATTATATTTAAATGTATAAAACTTTGAATATTTGCTCAAATAAAATATATAACCAATGTTTGTATTTCATTTTAAGATATTTAAAACAATAATAATTTGTTTTGTTTAAAAATAGGGCATCTGTTCATATTTATGTTACCCATCATCCTACAGTGTGTTGCGGTCGTCATAAGTAAAAGTGCGAGTAAAAAAAGAAGGGAAAATATTCGAGAAATGTCATTCCACGTCAAGAAATTTCTTGATCTTCAGGAAGGTTCTAGAAGATTAAATCGAGCTCTATAAGTCGGTGATCATGACGTCAGGAATCAGTTTTATACGTTAATGTTATCAATTGAATTATTGTAAAAGTTAAGTTGAAATAAATTGAGATGTTATTCATCTCTCGTCCAAGCATTGGAGACAATATATGGCCAGCTAAAAGTTCGTAGTCAGAAACATAATGAGAGTCTACAGGAATTCAAAGCCTGCATAAGAAGATTGATTCATCTGGCCTATTCATAGCCGCCGAAAGATTTCCAAGAACGAATCGGAATAGAGGCATTAATTGATGGACTACTGGACTACAAGATGTGAAAATGAGGTAAAGAGGAGGAGAAGTTTCAGGTGGAAGACCGTTTTTTTAGAAAAATTTAAGTAAAGAGAAGGAAGGAGAAGTTTTAGCTTAAAGACTTTTTTGTTTCATTTTTAGAAGAATTCAAGTAAAGAGGAGAAGAAATTTTTGCTTAAAGGCCTTTTTGTTTTTTTAGAATTTTTTTATAAAATTGTCGCTAGGCCCGACCTTGGAAAAATTGTCCCGAAGCTCGACCTGGCTCTCGGCGACCCTGGAAACTGATTGCAGCCTAGGAATATGAAGCGGAAAAACTCCTTTCCAGATCTTCTCGCGCAAGAGTGAGGAGGCCAATACTTATACTATTTCCCAACCTACCCTCTCATAAATCTTAAATATACTTTAAAATATGCAACAAAATGGAAGCAGGAGATGCTTTAATTGCAGAAGAATAATAATAATAGTAATAATCGTCTTTATTTCAAGCACCTTCAAAAGTCCTGCAGAAGCAGGGCTTGTTCTGTAAATCACAAATCAGGGAATGAGGCCAGAAAATTACATAGATCAATCGCCTGTCACGAAGTCCAACAAGAAATAATTACAGTAGCTATTCGTCCCGGAGAAGCCGATCACCCACACCTAGCCGGCTTTCTAGCAATAACCAGAAAGTAGAGCATCGTAGAGGCCGTCTCTATAGCAAAGCAGACATTCTCTCCAAGATGACCCTGTTTAGAACGAGAATGCCGGCACAGTAAAGGACTCGGAGAACGAGAGGAACCAGTTAATAAAGTTACTCTTCAGGCAACCACTATCAAGCCAGAGGGCGACGAAGAAGACATTATCCTTGAAAGCCTAAGAAAGAGGTAGAAGAAAGACAATGACTTGAAGGTCTGAGAATGGCTTAGAAATAAAGTCACACCTACTTAGCAAGAGATATTAAGTGGTGATACTAAATGGTACCGAAAGCGGGAGCCCTGATGGAGTACATGTGTCAAGTGGTACTGCCGAAATCACATATCAGAAGTGTGTCGAAAAGGACACTGGCACGAGTTCCGGAAAGATTTTAATGGGTCAATTGCCGATGGGATGTAGCGGATTAGTGCAAAAAATGTGATGTATGCAATAGCAGAACAAGGTCTATGGATTCGCTCGGAAACGTCCGAAAGCCAACAGCGACAAAGCAGAAGCTAGAATGCCACCGGGACACATTTTAAGAGAGGCGACTCAGTAGGAATCTGTCAAAAATTGCAACGGAACTTTGAGTGTCCTACACAGTTTCTGAGAAAAATCAACGACCTACCATATTCGGTAAACGCAAAGTAACGCAACCGCCTTTAAAAGATAATATTTACGTAACTTGTCAACAATGTACGGAAGATACTTGAAACATTCGAAAAAACTATAAATATCTTTATCTGTGTCATTAAGTCAATAAAACGAAACTTCTTGTCCCACCACAATATAGGATCAAGACAAAAAAGTGGTTATGTGCTATCATATAACGTTATTAGGATAAAAAACATTATAACCATTGTTGAACACATTACTTGTAATCTAATTTACAATAGTAGTCGTAAATATGTTTAACTATGTGGTTTAAAACAGCCAAACTTGATGATATGATGAAAATGAATACACTCTCATCATCTGTTAGAAGCTAGGCTACACGTAATGAAGCTTTATGTCAATTCCTTTAGCATAGTACCAAAGTAATATTATGGGTCTATGCAATATTTAGGATTTGCATATTGCTAGAATTTCTCATTCTACAATTAAAAATTACTTAAACCAAAAACGTAGTTAGTCGAAGCATGACATTAACTCTGAACACATTAGTATTTTTTTAACAAAGTTACTTTTTGATAATTTACTATGCTTGCCTACACTCACTTATCTAAATTAAATTATCAAATAAAACCAAAATCTCATTCTAATTTAACAAAAAATATTTTCTTTAACATAAATTTAGCCTAATAAGGTCTCCATACCACAGCATCACCATTTTGCGCAGGTCCTCTCTGACCTCCATTACTAGTCAATCCTCTGTTATGACCGTCATCTTGTCTAGCAGCAGCAGCTGCACACGTACCATTATTGCTAAGAAGCAAATCTGTTGTGCCGTTTACCATCTGTCGCTGATTGCTAGTCGATAAGTGGTCCATGACTGTTTGAAGATCGTTATGTTGCGCATGCGCCGTATGAGAATGTAGAGAATGGAAGTTATGTGATTGGTTAGCTGCTGAGTATAACTGGGAGTATAGAAGACCAGGCAATACTGGATAAATCGAATTATTGCAGTTACTTGTCGAGTAACTACTCTGCGACATATTTTGATGTAAGGAGAAGTTAGCGTTATTCACATGGTTGACACCCAGGGACGTTTGAGAGTTTATAAGGTCATCTTGGACGGGACTTTCAGCTGCGCTGGAATTGTCAGATAATGACCTGGGGCCCGAGAGGGTAAAATCCGAGTGATTCGTTGAGTAGCGAGGTACAAGGAGTGACGATGGGTGGGACGTTGTATGTGAGTGGTTAGAGTGGTTTTGAGATGATACCAAACCCAGATGTTGGTCGAGGTCTGTAGCTGAAGGTTCTGGTATTACTGAAACAAAAAAAAAAACAAATTAGATATTAAGATATTTGAGTTCCTAACGTTTTTCAAAAAATATCAGTAATAGTTTTTATACTTACAGGAACTAACTGTTGAACTGGTAGTAAAGGCATCTTGTGTTGACGACTGGTCGGGCGTGCTTCCGGAGAATCCCAACGCTGGAGTATTAAATTGGGAAGCAGGGGCTGCGCAAGACCCCAAAGCACCAGGTGTGAAGTACGATGAGTAACCTGCTGTACTGTATCCCCAATGTGAATTTGTACTACTTAGGCCAAATTGGGGCATATCTAAAACAAGAAGAAAAAGGAAGATACAGTAAAGTTTTTGATATTATTACATATTATAGGATACAGTTCTCAATATTATCTAAACTTTTAGATTAGGCGTTAATATGCAGGTTGTTTCAAATAAATAGGAGTGATTGATTTTAAAAGTAAATTTTCAGCTCATTATTTACTCCTAAGAAATAGAGTCATTCAGTGATCAAAAAAAGTATTTTTAAAATTTTCCCGGTTTTAAAAATGTAGCAGTATTAATAATTTGGTTTCAGAAAAATGTATAAGTAGTTTGTTTCTTTATTAACAGACTTCAAAAAAAGAAGGAGGTTCTCAATTCGCCGGAATATTTGTGTTAAGCATGTTTAGCGATAATTTTTTTCCACGTTGTCTGATATCTATGATTCTACTTTTGCTAGAGAGGGGTGGTCCCGTATAATTTTGGTCAAGATCTATTAACGGCATCCATAAGAAAAACATCAAACTCTTGACTTTTTTATGTATGTTCAGCGATTCTTTTTTTTTTTTGTTAGAAAGAAGGTATTTTAGGGGTGGTCCCATACACATTTAATCAAGATCTGATAATGGGATCTATGATAAAATCAGCAAACTCTAATTGTTATGGCATCTGCACGATTTTAAAGTCGGTTTTATAAAATTACTTTAATAACTTGTTTAATATAAATTTTTGTACTTAATCCTTCTGTACGAATAATATGAACCACCGCAAAATTTTATAATTAAAACAACAAACGTAAATAAGTTTTTAAAATAGGTATTTAATCATGAGACCTAAAAGTTCAATTTTATTTTGTGAGATTTTGAACCGAGAGGCGTGAGTTGAAACACTTTTGGAAAAAATTAAAATAATTTAATAAAAATTGTATCATCTATAATTTGATTCTCTCAACATTCTCAACGTTTAATTTAAAACGTATTAGTTACAGTATTTCTATAGTGATAGTTTACTTTTAACACGCTTCTTATTATTAGTAGTTTGTGCAACAAGAGTGGATATGATGGCCATATCGCACGAAGACGAAATTTTTAGCACGACACCAAAAGCAGAGTGCTCAATTGTCTGAGTGCGATGTAGACAATCCAGTTGTACAGTATATTTTGTCTACGACCCACTAACGAAAATTTACAAAGAAATAAAAATAGTTTAGGTTATTAGGACAAAATAAGTAATTTTAAAATAATTTATGACTTAATAATTTTTAAAATAAAATAAACAAAAAAAAAGAAAAAAATTCATTTGATTTACCCCATCCGAGAATAGTCTTTCGCGTGGAAGGCAAGAAGGCTAATCACAGGACTCAACCGCATGGTTAGTTAACAATAAAAAGAAAAACTTTCAAAAATCAACTAAAATTATTTCTATCCAGACCTATATGAGGGCCCGAAAGACAAAAAAAGATTTTCTGTACCCATACACTAAAATGGACTTAAAGAACACTATCTATCTGAATTAGGGCGTGGTTCAAAGCCCACTTGTACTAAAGCTCTAGGCTTATTGTACCCCTCACAGTTTCTATCCCATCAGATTGATTTTCTTGATGAATTCAAGAATATGTCTAATGGACGCTTTCGCGATTTCTTTAGGTTTCGGATATTGTAACCCGAAGTACCATTCAAGTTCCCATTTAAGGTTCTGACAGTGGCATATTATGTAAATAGGAGTTTTGTCCTCCTCTTCACATATTCTACATAGGGAGTCATCAGATATCCCTAAGAGATTTAGGTATCTTATGGGCCGCAGTGTCCCGTAAGGGGTCCTATTACGGCCTTGAGCTCACTTCTGCTAAGGTTTAGCAGTTGATGTTGCCTCCTTCTCCACCACAAGGTGTAGTGGAGGAAGATCTAGCAGTAGCTCCATTGCTGCTGTGGCGTACTTAGTTCTAAATGCCCCTGTTATTATTAGACAGGCTAGTCTTTGCACCTTGTCTAATTTTCTGTTAGCTCTTATGCTTTGAGTCTTGTGCCACCATATGACTGATGAGTAAGTTATAACAGGTACTACAACCATAGTGAAAAGCCAGTGCATCATACTTGGTTTAAGCCCCCATACGTTTCTTACCATCCTTCTACAGGCCCATAGTATTCTTACAGCTTTTTCTGTTGTTTTTTCTATATGGCTGCAGAAGCTAAGAGTGATTCCAAGATATTTTACTTTTTTTTCCATTTTTAGATGTTGTCTCCACATATAAAGCTCCTGCATCCCTTGAAGGTTACTTTTTCTTGTGAATGCAACAACAGAGGTTTTTGTAGGGTTTGTGGACAATCCCTCTTTAAGGCACCATCTTTCGACGATATTTAGTGCCCGCTGCATTCTTTCGGATACAACAGACCCAAATTTACCGTTTACTACGATGCTTGCGTGTATATAAAATAAACTTAAAATTATCCATATTTAAGACATGTTTCAAAACACTTTGTATAAAATAAACCAGTGCATTAAAAAGTTTTGAAATCAATGTAAACCTACCTAAATTATGATAATTTAATTTGGGGTCAGCAACATTCTCTAATTAAAAAAAAATAATTGCTTGGAAATACTGTAATATTAATTAAATACTTTCTAAAGTTGAATACAGTATTACCAAACCATCCTAAAAATTTAATATTTAAAAATCATACTATTTTATTTGCCAGGCAAAAACGCAACACCCTGTGTATCCAAAAATACTTTTAAAACATGTATTTTTTAAATCCATATAACTTTTATTTGTTTTTTTTTTATTGAGTGTCTATAAATTGAAATAATATTACGCATAAATGGGTCACCCTGTATAAAATTTTATTTACGACCATTTTAATGATCGTTGAATATTAGATAACTATTATTTTTTCTTTTTCGCCTTTTCTGAGCAGGTTATTATAAAAGAAATTTACTTTACCGCCTGGCGGGCGGTAAAGTAGTTCGCGGGCGGTAAAGTAGTCCGCGGCGATAAAGGGACACCTTACGCCCGATAAACGTATTTATAATTTGGACATTATCGCCCGATCGTGCATAAAAAAATTAATAACTTGTTAGTAGGATATATCGTATCTAGTATTACTACTCAGTGGTCTCATTACATCCAGGTTAATTTTCATTATTATTTCAGTTACATCATTGTACAATAAAATGAATTTGTCTTGTTGGTCGCTTTCCATTTTTTTTTATAATGAAATATGTCATCGATGTAGTGTTTGAAATTATTCTATGGATCAAACTTTATTATTTTTTAATTTTTCTTTTTTAATGTTGCTATTAGATAAAAATGGTGGTTAAACCTCGACTTGTAAGGGTACATATTGCAAACCTCGGCTATAGGGGCTTCGATTTTAAATAAAAATTTTTTGAATAAAATGTTGAATAAAAATCAAAATTTTACCTAAAATATTAATTTTAATTGCGACAATTGTAAATAGGGCAGAATAACAAATAAATATAGTCAAGTTCAATAATTCATTGCTTTTTGTTTAATCCTAACAATGTTATGGTTGTCTGTGTCGTCAATTTGTTGATCAGAGTGTACAATGTCAATGTGGCTAAAACAGTTGATGAGTATATCGACCGGGTCATCCGCAGGTTTTTTGTCCGGTGCGTTATGAACGGATCATAGGCGTACAACTATAATTTAAATTGCGGTGTGTTTGAAAATGATAGAACAAAAGGTCTTGGAAATATCACGCATGACAAAAATTACTTCTTCTTTTTTCCAATGAACGTGTTTAGTTGATTAAGTAGAGAAGATAGCACGTATTTCGTATTTCGAATAGCCACGTATGCATTATAATTTATTTGCAGATATGATTACTGTTTTAGCGATAATAGGGGTTACTAACTTTCCACCTATTCACCTCTAATCGATGAGATATTTTGTTGTTCGTGTTCGGTGAAGAATAAAAATCAAGCCGTCAGTCAACAACATTTAAATAGAAAAATCCTGCGCAATAGCAGTGTAAAAAGGACCTAAGCGTGTATCTCGGCTATTATTGATCAGACAAACGATTCTATGTCCTCATGATCCCCATTTATCTGCATAGGAGCTATCTAATTTTGTATTTTTTAAGGGATGTTTAAAAAAATTAATTTATTGAGAATACTGCGCATAAAACTAGTCTAAAATGAAAAATTCTAATACGGTCTTCATCTATAATGAGAAAATTCTACCCTAGCATTTATAGTTTATCCTCTAGAATGCCATGTATCCATGTTTTGCACCGCTTTCATTTCTAGGGTGCTATGGACCAAACGGATAGTCGCATTGAAATTTAAAAAACCACATTATACCTGAATAAATGCACTTTACTATAGTTTTTTGTTTGAGTAAATAGCTTTATAATCATTAGAGGAATGTGGAGCGCTTAAAATCGAATTTTATTTGCAAATTTCATCAAAGTTACCAATAGGGTGCTACAAATAATTTCTCTTGAAAACCAATTAAAAAAATACTTCCAGAAAATTAATTAGAAATTAGTCTAGTTCACAGCTTCTATTGAATGTATTTTTAATGCGAATACTGAATGATTGAGACGCAATTATTAAAGATGCGCGGTCGGAGGACAATAATTTTGAAAAATTAAAAGTTGTCGTAGAGCGCTTAAAAGTCTTGCATCTAATCTTCTGTTCAAAATTTATTGCAGAAAAATCACTGTTGATATGTTCACCAGAGTATTTATTTATTTATAACTGCTTAATTTCAGTGTTCTTAGTTGTTCTATTCAATCCCATACCAGCCTCCACTTCACTTTCTGACTCGATATGGCGTTAAGGGTTGCCCGGATGTCTAATATTATTTGGATCTGTTTATTTTGAATAGCCCTTTTATTGTTTGTTCTTGCACATTCTTAAAACATAAATCTGAAATATGGAAGCAGGTCTTTCTATTGTATAGATAAGATTAATGTTATTATTTCTACTTGGCATGCCTTCCGCAGAACTTTGACCCGTCTGTGCACCAGGTTTGGTACTGTCTTTGAGCACTAGGTTCCCTTATAGTTGAAGAAGTAACGTTTAGTTA